CTTGGGGTAAACGACAATATTCCCATACTTACCAATGGCTAATGGATCCAATTTGACATTGAACGTTATTCCGTTGTTTTTTTTTTTTTTTGTTTTGTTTTTTTCTATAAGGGATTATTACGGAGGGAGGCCATCTATGAAGGTCCACGTGATCTGATGTCAAGCAGATTCCAGAATAATTGTGATAGCTGCTGTTTTAGTGGTATAATGGAATTTATTATATTTCTACGAGTTGTTAACAATGTTTTTATCGTGAAATTGAATCTAATACGAACAGTTGTTACCCATCTCATTATATTCTTTGCTTGTATTCTAGATATAAGGTTAGCCAATGGTGGATCTCACTACAGAGGGCGCCTGGAGATACGTCATCGACATCGGTGGGGGAGCATTTGCGACCATAAATTTGGCGTCGAAGAATCGAAAGTCGCCTGTCGGGATCTTCGGCTTCCTTATGAGGAGCCAATCGTGAAAAGGGGAGCCCATTTTGGTGAGGGTACTGGAATTATTTGGCTGGATGACGTGGTTTGTGATGGAACTGAATCCAGCCTAACGCAGTGCAGACACTTAGGTTGGGGAGTTCATTCCTGTACTCACGCTCAAGATGTCGGACTGATTTGTCAGTGACGCTGTCGTCTGTTCAGTTGCAATCAGCAAAATATAGTTCACTGCCTCGCGATAAATTTGGTGCAAATACCGTATTTCAGATGTAAATTTGTTTTGACTTGATTTAATGTGCAGTATTATCTTCTGAAAAAGTTGAGTAGTGTCGCCGTTGAATATTCACCTGGGATATACATGACTACGGGTTGAAAGAAGACAGCCCACTTTACTTTATTCTATTACATAAATTTGCAAAAAAAAAAAAAAAAAAAAAAAAAAAAAAAAAATGTGACTATTAGATATTACCATTTTTTTTGTTTTCAATTAGCTGCCATTAAAACATTAATTTGTTTCTTCTTTTAAAAAAAATCCATGCACATACAGATGAGAAAACTAACAACACTTGGTTGTCACACGTGAAGTGAAGCAGCATTTTCCATGGTGACATTCACAAATGTATTAACCATAAATAATAAAAAACAATGATTGAAATAAATGCATATCGGAGTGTTCTTTATAGGTACCACTATACAACATTTGAGATCTTCATCTATATAAGAAACAATTTATCAAGTGTGACTGGATGTTACGAGGATATAATTCAGCAAATGGTACCAAAAGATGAAAGACAGCTAAAATCTACCATCTAAACAAAGCTAGGTTTAACTCCATTCCAGCCCCCAATATCTAATATATAAGGTTAAAGGGATAATAACTCTTCATATGAGATCTATATTTCACAATAAAAACCTTGTGAATAACTCATAGAAATATAATATATTCTGTTTTACCACAAAAACAGCAGTTATAGCTATTATTCTGATATCTGAACTTGTCTTTAGACCACGTGACCTCCATTGATGTCTATACTCTGTTAAAATCTCTTAAGAGATTTTAACAAAAAACCAAACTTTTTAGAAAAAAACCAGGGACTAACTTTGAATGTAAAAATGGATTCATTAACCATTGGTAAGTATGGGAAAATTGATGTTTACTCCAGGAAAATTCATTTTTTGGCCAAAACGAAGAGTTATTATTGCTTTAAGCAATCGAAGAAACTAGAATGCTGCTGATCTTATATCAGTTATTGTTGGTTGACCCTAATTTCTTTAAATAAATAAATCCCAAGCAATGGAACATAGGGTATTTTCCTTAAAGGTGCCACACACGTTTGGACTGTCACGGCCCTTTTCTGTCTTGGAGCCTCACTATGGCATGTGTAAATCTTTCTCTCATAATTATTGCAGCTGTGTGTATGAAGACAGTACACTATCACGTGACTGCCCAACTACCATTCGAAATCATCATCAGAAAATCCACCAATACTGAAATATGGTATAACATACAATAAACATTTGACCAGGAAGTATATTGTATTAAAAACAAGTGTATGTAAGTATTTGGAAATGTTGTTGTAAAACAACTTTCACTCTATAGATATCACAATATAACTTAGTCAAAAATGTGTAAATATTTTTATTCTTCTTACTTCTTGTCACTTAACCAAAGTATTGTTCCACATTATAGTTAGGCTGATGAATTAAAAAAAAATATGACAGTAACCTGCAGGGCCTTTAAATATCATTTGGAATGTCTACATTTGGTCTGAGTTAAGTTTATTTATTTATTTATTTTTATTTTTTGCTTTATCCAAGAGGTTAAATGGTTTCAGTAAAATCAAATTTCAATTTTTTAGCCAAATTTTAATAAATGAATAAAAACATGAATAAAATTAATTTCTTTAAAGAAAATAAAAAGGACCAAAATAATCAAAATAAATAAAAAAAAAAGGAAAAGAAATGCTGCGTTTTTACAAGTTTTTAGCATCCTTAGCTGAGGTTGAAAACTGAGCCTATTTTGGTGCATCTCCATTCTTGAATTTCTCTGATCCACAGCCAGCAATAAATTAAAACTTAAATTACCAGCCAGGAGCTGCCATACAATTAACCTACCTCTTCTCTTCATCTGCTACTGAGAGCTCATGTTCTGACTGTGACTTTTCCTTAATGAAAAAAGATGCTTGCATTTATATAGATTCAAAGTAAAATTCAATATCTCAGTTTTGTTGGTATAGATAAAATAATAAGAAAAGAAATCAATCAAAATACTGACACTGTGACTTCAAATGATATTTACTAAAATAAAATCCACAAAGTTGCAACAGACCAGATGCAGAAGAAATTCTTTGCCACCTAAAATATATCACTTTCATTATTCACATCTTCTAGAATTCAGTGAAAATGAATTTATCATCAAGTGACATTCTGCACTATCATGATGTGTTATGTTCGTTTTCAAAATGATAAATTTTCACATACTTCACTCTGATGGCCCTTGGACCAAACCTTCACTGCCTTTGTTGCAATCTGAAAAGTGTACATGTAAATAAGTTAACCAGACATTTGTGTACACCTGATATGCCATCTGTTAACTTTTAACAATAAACAATTAAAACCGTCAAATACAAAACTTTCCATAAATATTTTAACTTCAACTTCCCTTATCAGCCTGTGGTCTTCATTATGTTTTATATACAACATCATCAGGGTTTCAACATGAATGCATTTCATTTTGTAAGCAAAATTTAGTTTAAAATGTGCTGGAAACCACTCGAGATAGCTCAAAGTGGTGTGGGATTTAGACGACAGTGAGGTCAGAAATTATGGCAGACAAGTGAGCACAGTGAGGCAATGAAAAAAAAGCTAACACAAATTATCCACAGATTTTTTTTCTGGTTGTATTCTCATTATTTATAATAATCACTTCAAATACAGGCCAAGGGTGTAACTAGGCTTACACTAGGATGCATTGTGCATAAATTTTTTTTGTCCACCCATGATATTATTCTTTCTTAATTTAGTATATTTTACATGAAATATAATTACAAATTCCCTGTGCATGCAATTTTTAAAGATCTGGTTATGGCCATGCAGGCTATTGCACAACAGTACGAATTCATCATGATCTGAGCATCACCTTTTAAAGACAACACATAATGACATTTGGCACATAGAGTTTCACCGTTTAAAGATGAAAAGTCAACCTCACCTCACATAAATTTATGTACATTATCTTATCTTGTATGACATCGCAAAGTGCCAACAGTCCCATTTTAGGCTATCTCAGGGGTTTCCCTTCACTGTGCACAACATTTCATGCCACTGAGATCTTACCCCATGTATAAAATTGACCCGTGACAAGAACATGCATACAGCATATGTGCAGTGTCCTCTGTCTAAACATGCTTTAACTATTCTTACACATGCAAAATACACTACATTTTACCATTTCCCATGTTTCATTGAAAAAAAAGTGATTGAAAAGTGCATAATTGGATGTGCTGCTTAAAGTTAATAAGGGGCAATGGATTTGGAAAAGCATGCTCAATATAATGAACTAGGAGAAGCATGCTCATATAATATATGTAGGGAGAAGCAGATGAAAGGGAAATATTGATTTGGCCATGTTACCTCTGCCTCCTGGAAGATTTCATGAACAAAACATGAAATAAATCAAAGTGGCATAAGACATCCAAATTAACATGTAAATTACTCGCAAACAAAAACAAATACCTTCAATGTTACAAGAAAACAACAAAATTATGGCTACTTTAGTTATATTTAGTTAGTCAAGGTTTGTCATCTAAACCATAACTTTTCTAGATTTTGAAGTTCCACATTCTTCCTTACAGTTTCCTCTTCATAATACCAATAAAATCAAATCAATTAATTTGAACATACGACTCTTTTCTGGTTAGCATATTTTCTGTTTAGTACCTTCTTCTCTTCCTCTTTCTTTTTCTTCAACATCTCCATGTATTTTTGCATGACAGGGTCTATTTCAGGCTCCTTGTCGTCTTTCTTTTCTTCTTTTTCTTCAACCTTCTCTTCCTCAACTTTTTCCACTTTTACTTGAGCTTCTGGGGTTAGATTTTTTTCCTACAAAATATTAATGATATGGTAGTTACATCTGCAGTATACATTTAAGAGTGATTATTCAAAAATGAAAAAAGAAACTCTGCAAAAGAGAACGAGAACTACCGCCATATTGAACAAGTACATCTGCAAAAAGGTCTTCCATTTTCGAATGCAACTTCCAACTTATTAACAGTTAAATCATTTAAGTAAAATAAAAGTGGAATACAGACATGTTTTACTGAAGTTGTAAAATGCTTAGTAACATGTAAAGTTTTAAAATTATTTTTGGTATTTTAAGAACCTTTTCTTTCTCTTTCTCTTTCCTCAGTTTCTCCAGCTTCTGCTGTTCTCTCTCCCATTCCTCCTGCTCTTGGCGTAACTTTTCTTCTTCTATTTTCCGCCTTTGCTCCACCCATTCTCTCTGCTCTCGCTCAATCTGACGTCTCTTCTCTTGCCTCTTCTTTTCTTCATCTAATGACACAGAAAAGGTATGACATGTCAAACAAATTTAATTCTAATTACAGAAATTGTTTCATCAAAAGTTCTATGTAGAAGTTATACAGGGCATAAGCCAAAGAACAAAGAGCATACAGCGAAACCAAAATTCTGAAATAAATATGGATTAATTTTGGAAAATGTTAAAAAAATTTTACATTATTTCTTCACCAAAATTGATCACCTTAGTTTTCCTTCTATGTAGTAATTCAAACTTAGACGGGTCTCCTGTTTCTGGACTAACCTTCCTTCACCTTCCAGGTAGAGTCTAAGGACACAACCTGTGGTTCTTCCTCTGCTCCAGCATCCAGGTGATTGCTCCCCTCCTCCTTCTCCTCCATGGGCCTTTCCCTCCTGTCACTTGAATCATCATGTTCTACAAGTCTAACTGGCTCACTGGGTTGAGAATCATTTGGGTCCACTCTCCGCACACTTTTATCCTGTCTGCTAGCCCCTGTCACTGAGTTATCCTTTATACTGAGATCCATCTCTGTTGCAGGAGTGGGCGTGTCCCCTCTGTGGTCACCATGCCAGGTGGTTGGGTGATCTTGAGGCCTAGTGACCTGATTACCACCAATGTCAAGGTCAACTGCTGGGTCATGACCACTATGGTCTAAAAAAAATTTAATCATAAAATTTTGCTCTAATCCCTTCATAACTGGTCATGGCTCAAATGTAATTTTGGAAGTCTTTGTACAAAATATATATGATAGCTAAAATAAACTATTTAGGTCTCATATCATTTGATAAAATTTAAACTCTTCCTGATAAAAGTTTATTTTCTTTTTCCCCAGAGTTCAGAAAGTAAACATACAATTCTGACAGGTCTAATAATCTGCACACTTCTGCAGATGTAGATATTATTTAAAAATGACAAGCTCTGAATGATTTAAAGATCTTTTTACAGTTACTACAAAAACTGAGTACGTATTTGGACAAAAATATATACTGGGAATTATCAGGGAATTAGGCTTTACCTGAGGTTTTTGATGAAGTCCCTGAACCCTGGAACACAACAACACCAGGGGAGCCTGGGCGACCTTCAAGGTCATTCAGGGTCAAAGGTCCTTGCCTTGTCAGTGGACTCTTTTCTCTATAATACATAAAAAATCTCTGCTTATGTGAAATGTTTCTGATTTTAAGTAAACTGCAGTTCATATGTAACATTTTGTCCAAATTTGTTTTTGCTGGGTGCAAGGGTTTTTCTTAAATCATTTTGTAAGTGGTGTTCTTTGTAAACTCTCAAGACCGAACGATTAGTCAAATCCTATGCCCTACCTGTTGTCAACTGGACTTATTCTTTTGGTGACCTCAGACATGCCCAATGATGGAAGGTAACCTTCATTACCATGGCTAGTTGGGCTGGTGCTGCCATCTAGAGTTGGGGGGCTATGTCTGTCAGGAGTTTCATCTAGTGAGAAACATGGATCTTCTCAATGCAAAGATATAAATAACCATTAATTGAAATAAATAAATGAGGTATGTAAGTATTATGTATAAAGTTAAACATCAAACTGCATCATTCTATCAGAATTTTATATATCAATTACCCATACCATCGTCATGAGTAAGTGTTCTCCTTGTTTTTCTAAATGGAGTTGATGACAAGGGCCTCCCTCTCTCTGACGACCTCCTTTCTTCTGACCTTAACCTTGTTGGTGAGCTGCTGTATGTGGCTCCACCTGTATACTTTGATGGTGATGAATATGGGGAGGTTTTAGTGTTCTGTCTCAGGGGTGAGCCTGTTTAAAAAATAATCTATGATAATATGACAGCAAATAAGGACAAAGAAAAATTTATTCGAAGAAAAAACTGTGAAAATTTTGGGCTGTAATCCCCTTAATGTTTTAAGAGCCATAAAGTACCAGGGGTAGATTGAGACCATTTTCTGAGTCTTACGGAAGATGGTAAGATTTTAAAGTTTACACTTGGCATCTGATTTTTTCTGTCAGAAGACCGTCAAAAATGGAGGATGGATCAATAAAGGTAATTTGGAAGACTGTCAGAAAATACCTCTGGATTCGCCCCTGAGTACATACTCAGTATCATATCTTTGCAAGAGAAAGTAAAAATGAACAGAAAATAAAAGGACCAATTTGAAAGTAAGGTGTTGTAAATGTACCAGTGAGTGGTGAAGGAGCAGGTGGCAAGTCATCAAATACAACTCTATAGGCAGCAGTAGCTGCAGTTTTTGGTGTTCTCCTGGACTGTGGTTGTAGGTAAGAATCATCCGGGACGGCCACTGGGTTAGTCATACGCTGGTTGAACTGTCGGTAATTTTCATCAAATTCCTGAATAGAAAGATATGATAATGTAAAAAGAAAGAAACTACTGTAAAGTTATAATTGCAGTTTATATGAACACATAATCCCAACATATTTGAAATTAGTTAAAGAATAAAATATAATTTAAAAGGTTCACGTTCACTTATTATTCCAATAATACCATTCACATCTGTAACCATAATACTAACTAACAAGACAACCTAGGGGTAGTCCACTAAATTTCACCTTAAACATGTGAACTAAGAGCAAAATTATTTCATTACCATTGATAAGATTAGGAAATTTAAACAAGACAAAAAGCACACAACTGAAGTTGTCACATTTGCAAGAATATTGCACTGAATTAATTTTTTGCCATTTTGGGAACTTCATTACATATTACTTTTTAATGTAACCATCACCAACTAGTGTTATCTCAGTGCAAAATTTCCATTGTCCTTTTTTACCCCCAACTACATGTTATATAGTAAATTATTTTGATTAACCATACAGTATTTCCATATGTATTTCAACTGTACATCCTTATCATACTATTCACCTTTATAAATGTTTTATCACATATAAATAATTAATACACATCTGCTTTCCCCACAAACAATACCATAAATGTGGGGCATGCATCCAGTCAAGTTGGTTGAATATTATTCATGTTTTGTAAGTATGCCACAAAGCATATTAATAGACTATTATTCCTTTCATCAGATGAAATTGTACTGTAAAGAATGCAATATTTGTCCAGATCAGAAAAGGGTCTGCTAGCACAATTTGATAGAAGTAACATAATTTAATGCACTGAGGTTCTTTTTTGTTTATAGATAAGCACTGTTTTCAGTCATGATGGAAGCCAATCCCTGCCTGACTTCTATCTTTCTTGTGTTTTCATTAGGTTCACACTGGATTATTTGTCTCCTAGTCAACAGATTAACTTAATTTTGCAAAAAATGTATATAAAATGGATCAAGTTCTTTGAAAAATTTTAACTGGTAACAATGAAGATTTTAAACTGTAACATTTGCCAATGGGATAATTTATTTTCACTTCAGATTCTACAATATCATGGGCACTGTAAGGCTAAAACACATGTATCTGGTGATAACCCTTGGAGTGCCATTCACAGTCTTCCTCTATCTGAATTCATCAACAAGGAAGGCTGTTATTCTACCAACTGGTAAAAATACATTTATACATGTCTGCAGTATTATTACCTACAATCATGATACGGTTTGAATAAAACATGTTTGTAAGTAATGTTTATTATAAGTGACTACTGGATATGGGAGAACAATTTCTGTGTATAACTAGACAACAAAGATAGCAAATATACAGACACCAAACAGGAAAGATGTTTATAAAAATCATTAAAAAAGTATGATCAGGCTGGTTTTCAAGGAATCTGCATTTTTACCAGACAAAGCCACTTTTTGAAGCAAATTAGAAGTAATACAATGATACATTTTGGCACTTATGGGGCAAACCACCAAAATACATGCCATCCCCAAAAAATAAACAACTTAAAAGAACTACTTAGCAAATTGCAAAGAGTGGAGTAAATCATCAATGTGTGCCCAGATCCAAAGAGTGTCTATATATAAAGATGAAACCTTTCATCAAGTTTTGTTTAATATATACTTCTCTATCTTACAACAGAATTTTCTTTTGATTTCTTAGAAAAGAAGAAAATTCCACTCTCCTCAAAAAACTCCAAGGTACAATATCTGTTCCTGTCTCAAAATGAGTTTCAGTGTTTGATGAATGCATAAGTTTAGGTTTTTTATCTAAGATTTTTCCTTTTATATTAAATATTATTAAAATAATTAAAAATTTATCTGAAAATTTCAAGGCCTTTTAGTTAAGAAATGTGGTATCTGTTCATGGTTTTAAACTAGAATTCAACATACAGTTAAGAAATGGAATTAGAGTGTAATCAGTCTATTATGATTCTTTTTATAATTCTTTCATCAAAAGCATGCATCTTGGGGTTCAGTTCCTAACAGCTGGGAGAAGGAAATAAAACAGAGGGCCCAGCACCTAAAAGACATATGTCAGGCAACATACAGTTCACCAGAAGGCAGTGTTGCAAAAGACAAGCCCCCTGAGATGCTTCTGCTTGATGACAGGCACCGTCTTCTAATATGCGCCATGCCAAAAGTGGGCTGTACCAATGTTAAACGCCTTCTCTTTGCTATGATTGGTAATACTGATGAGAAATCTTACCTAAAAATGAAAGATGTTCACAAAACTTTTGATAGATTTGCTCCACGCCTTAGCAGTTTTTCAGCTTATGGAATTCAATTCCGCCTGAGGAATTATTTGAAAGTGATAGTTGTCAGACATCCACTGGAACGCCTGGTTTCTGCATACAGAGACAAATTTGAGAGGGAAAGTGGGTTTGTACAGTTAAGGGAGCTTGTCAAACATTATGACAAAAGCAAATCACCAAAAACACAAATTCTGAACCAAGATAGCAGTCCTTCATTTGCAGCATTTCTTAATTACATTCTGTCCTTGAAAGAAAATAAGCCATATAACAGACACTGGGAGATGTATACTACCCTGTGTGATCCCTGCAGAATTCAGTATGATGTCATTGTCAAATTTGAGACACTAATAAGAGATATCAACATGGTACTAACCATGGTAGGACATTCTGATAAGTTCAGGCTCCCAACCCCAAGAAGGCCAGCATCTTCTTCTGGCATCTGGAAGTCATATTTTGTCAACATTTCTAAATCTGACATCAGGGATCTATGGGCACATTACAGCTTGGATGCTCACTTATTCAATTACACCCTCGACTGGTATGAAAGTTGAACAGGGTTGAGCAGGGCTACAAAGACCACACATCTTGTGTGTTGCACAAGCTTTTGATGAAAATTTTTCTTTATTTGCTTATGTAATGTTGTTAGTTTTAATTTAATGTGGAATATAATGATGATCCCTCATAATACCTCTTTGTTCATAATATGAGGTAACTAGAAACATCGATGAAATAGTCTCTTTGACAACACCTTGGCAACTTTAAGTTATCAAGCACAACTAGCACTTCAGGGTGACCATTCTCTCACTCAAACCTGTGGGGCATAAAAATAAGACATATCCAAAATAAACTCTTCCTAACATCTAACAACATGAAGTCAAAATGAAATTGACTGAAACCTGAGGGAGGGGTAGGTGGGTGGACAAGATGGCATTCACAGACAAATGGACTGACACACAGACATCCCCCCTCCCCAACTTATATAACAACAACCCATTTCATACTGTTAGAAACCCCCCCCCCCCTTACCTCTGCTTCTCTCTCTAACCTCTGCAGCCTCTGTCTTGTCTCCAGTATGATGTCTGTAGCACTGGACTCATCAGGAGACCCTCCATCTTGCTGTCTCTGCTGCCTTTGCAATGTTGTTAGCATGTTGTTGTCAGCACTGAAAAGTGAAAGTGAAAGTACAGGTCTCAATGCCAGTTAATTAATGATCAAGGTACTGTTACCACTGATGTTTTCCACAGATGATTACATGTAGCTGGATATTTCATGGGGTTTGTAATAATTATCACAGTCATCATGCAAAATATTCTTGCTGATTTTTATCTCCTGTGCCTCCTTTCTTATAATATGAGGTTTTGCAGTGCAAACCTTGTCTCTAGAGACATTGCTTATAAAATCAGTTAAAGTGAGAATGATACGATTTTTTTGACTTCAGGAATTATAATTATGGAAATGATCAAAAAGTGCAAGTGTTTGGAGGAGAAAGGGGGATGACATCTATAAAATCAAGGAAAAACATACAATCAAATTTTACTACTGATCTAAAAACACAATCTAGACCCACCCTTTGAGTTCTCTATCCACTCTATCCAGGAGATCATTGATATCTGGAGCCACACTATTACTCCCATAGCCACCAGAGTAACTGACATCTCCTGCCAGTTGTAACTCTGGATCTACTCTTGTTCTTCTCAGTGAGGTGTCAATGTACATGTCATTGATTCCAGGGTCATGAACTGGCATGTCATCCATGTAGGCTGCTGTGGATTGTGGTCTAATGAGGACAACATATACTACTTTTAAATAATTCACTATGGTGATGATGAGACAGTTATTTATGTAAATATGATATTGCAAGGATACTACATTAACATTCAACAACACTGTCAACAGGACATTAATAAAATATTATATGATGCTGCCCGTAACCTGTTGTGTCTACCTTTAACTAATTTTGTCATGCAACAATATAAAAATTAAACCTTACATTATTAACATAGCTGCTTCCTATCTTAAAACTTAACCAAGAAATGCTATATCAAGTGTAAGTTAAGTCTACAGCATATTTGCAACTGTTTAAAGTATCAGGCATGTGAAAAATAAATATAAATCACAAGTTTTTAAATAATAATAATAATAATGACTAGCAACCAAAAAGTGAATCTCTTTTGTTTACTTAAAGGGTATTATGCGAGTAAAGAATGTTTAATTTAAGTCCAGTACCTGAGAGTAGCTGTTCTAGGCTTCCTGTATATTTCATTGTTCAAAGCTAAATAAGAAAAAAAAAGCACAATTATAAAACATTTTAACAAGGCAGCAAAGCTGTCAAATGTACAGACAAAAAACAGAAAATAAAGATGCAAAATAGGTCATTTTGTCAATTTTGATGCAATAATAAATAATGCTTATAATAGCACTGTCAGTCAACACTGAATTTTAATNGAAAAAAGTGGAAAAAAAAGCAAAACTTCCCTAAAAATGACCCAATCATGCTGATTTTCGAACTTGACCTGTGTATTATACAAATTCATCAGTTCTGTAAGTTTCAAACCAAAAGGTAAAAAGGTTTTCCACTTATCGTGTTTACGGTGTTGCATATATGCTGAAAAAAGTGAAAAAACAGCCTGAATATTATGAATATTCATCAGTTCTGTAAGTTTCAAGTCAAAATGTAAAACCGTTTTCCACTTATCGTGTTTACGGTAAAAGTGCACGCCAACGGCAACGGCAACGGCAACGGCGACGACAGACGCAGGTGACAGCTATATGTACAGACACATCTGTGTCTGTACATAAAAAGTGAAACTTGTGAAACGGGTCCATTTATAGAAACAGTTCAATCCCCCCCCCTTCAATTGTTTCATTTATTTTTAAGTACTAAATATAAAATAAGAGAATGGCTCTTTTCTCCTGTAGGAGGAGTGCACAATTTTTTTACAAATCATTTAAACTACGATATGCCATGTTTGTTAGATTTATACATGTTTTTTCTCCCTTCCTTTTTAGTGAAGTAGTGCAGTTTTTCCAAATCATACTCAGCTATATGTTACAAATGCTTTTATACACAACAAATCAGCAAACAGTGATAAACACAATAATGCCCTTACCTTCTTGGGTGTGTAAGAGCTGCTGTCTTAAGTCTGTTATCTCACGAATCATCTCTCTCTGTTGCAAAGTCTGCTCTTCAAATTTTTTCAATATCTCTTGGTTTCGATCTGCCTGAAAACATAAAAAAAAAGAAACTTAAATTAGAGAAATATGTCATATGGTATGCTGCTTTGGAGCAACTTTATCAGCAAACTATCAACCCTTTTTAGAGATATGCTAGATAACATATCAAAAAAAAAATTTTCCTCAATAATCATTTAGCCAGATATCTAGGTCTTCAACTCACTTCTTCTTTAATTCTGGCATCACTTTGCTGCTTCTGATGTTCAAACACTGCCTGTTCTTGCTTCAGTCTGTCTTGGGCTCTCTGAAGCTCCCTCTGTAGGAGTAAAGATTCTGGTGTTGGCTGTTTGGTTCTCTCACCCATGTCCTTAAGCAGACTTTCATACCCTATGTATAATATATATAACTTGTTATAAAACTGACTTTCAGGGCTGACACTAGCAGTTATAATTTTGGCAAATGCCAATCATAACAAATTAGTTAAGAACTGAGAAGCTTATCCTCTTTTCCGTTTTTATTCCTTAATGATAAGGTTATATAGTCATTTGGCATAATAATTTCAAAGAAACTCTATCAATGCAGGTACTTAACATCGCAACGATGCACTTACTTTGCCTCTCTCTTTCATTTTCATGAAGTAACTCTGCCTGTCTCCTTTCAAAATAAAAGCACATTTGCAAATAAATTAGTTTTTGCATCTTTATTTATTCATCTATCACAATTATGGTATCACTGTGTAAATATACATAAAAAATTCACACAACTGATTGGGAGGAATACAACTTTTATATGGCATGATACCAACTTGTTTCAAAATCTAAAATTTGATAAAAATCAATTTAGTTAATTATTATATATGTTAAGAAAAATAAAGATTTGCATATGGATTAAATTATTATAATAGTTTGTAATAACTTAACAACAACAAGGGACTGCTCACATCTTAGTTGTCTCTAACTCTCTTTTCATCACTGCATTTTCTTCCTTGATGGAGCGATAATCAACCGTCTGAAACAAAGTAATTTTTCTTTTTTGCATTTCATCTGATAAGTATCTGATGGAGAAAAGATCTATGAATCAAAGAACATGAAAAAGTATGGTGTCAAAATCTTTAAAAGTCAACTGCTGTTACAGTGCCAATGACTTACTTAAACAAGTAAATAATAATGAGTGCTGATAAAAAAAGTTAAGTAAAAGAATTCACTTATATTTTAATTATCAAATGCGATGTAAGGTGGGGTAAATGTGGTATGTTACCTCGCGAAGTCGCTCCTGTGCCACCTCATAATGTTTTGATGTGGATATCTTTTCATGGTGAAGAGCCTGGATTTGAGCCTAGAAGACATACAAAATGTTGAATTCATTAGAACTTTTATTTTTATTTTTACACAATTGAATTTTAACATCTTATGCATGCAGTTCATCTTGTTATCTGCACTACCAGGCCTTTCTTCATCATCTGAAACTTCAAAGAATATGCAATTTATCAAGTTATTTGGCCTTCTTCATGTTTAGCTTTTACTCATACCACATATAATTTTTTCAAAGCAAAAGTCATTTCATATAATAAAATTGTCAGCCAGGTGACATTAAAATCCCAAGATTCCAAATTTAACAGAAAGCAGATCTACCCAGAAGCAAATTGGAAAACATCAATGCAGTATCAAAACACAGTGGTAGAAGATCTACAATGAAGCCACCAGGTGGCACTCCACTTCAAGAAGTGCTTTTCTCATCCAGTCACAACAAGTAACACTATCTAGCCTGTCTGATCACAATACCGTACCTCCAGTTCTGCAACCCTGGCTTTGTTTATTCTCAACTCCTCCCTCACACTCTGCTGGGCTTCTCTCTCTTCTCCCAGTCTCTTTAGCTCATCTGAAACAAATTCCTCATTTTCAGTTTGTCATGATGGTGATCACATACAGCGTACGGTGTACATTATCAAGAGGTTGGTAATTCATACTACACCTAACACTGACATATGATAAGACACCATAAAAATGTTTCAGTTTTTTAAAAGGCAACAGACTTACCAATAGCCACATAGTTATATGATGATTTTATTTATTTTTTTTTATTTGCACACCCACTTTCAAAGTATGTTCCGTTATTTCTGTCATCTTATCTAATTAAATTTTCCATGACAAACTTGAGGTGAAGGAAAAAAATCATGCTTATATACTATATTTTCTATAAAATATTCAATTCAATACATTTACCTGATAACCTTGCTTCTTGGACCTCCAGGTTCTTTGTTCTCTCCAAAAGTCTTCCCTGTTCTTCTATCTTAAACCTTACAGGCAGTTAAAAATCAATTATCTACACACACAATGGCATATCAAAAATACAAACAATTTACATACATTAAAAAGTTCAAAGGCAATAAAGTCTAATACAATTTCAAAACAGGCTCCGGTTAGTTCAAAACAAGCATTTTTTTCATTAAAGTTACTTGAGGAATACAAAAAATGTCAAAATTTTAAAATATAAAAGGCATACTTGAAAAAATGAATAATATATACATGAACATAAAATTAAGAACTGTCTTACAAACTTACCTAGCGACATCTATTTGTAACCTCTGGTCAAATTCCTCTTCAAGTCTATGAACAGAATCCTCTCTTTTCTTCAACACACCCTCCCAAGATTTCATCTTATCCTCATGTAGCTGACTTTCCCTGAAATATAAAGAGTAAACTGTAAATAAATAATTTTTTTAACTAACAGCAAGTTGAAAGTCCCTGAAATAACTAAATAATGCTGAACCTTTTATGTGACATACAACTGATGTGGTATGCTGCTATGTAAACTTTGCAAAAAATACATTATTCTATCTAAACTCTTGTTTAATATCTTTTATATATTATAGATATTAAACTCTATATAACAATTTTGCTTCATCATTAAGCAGAGATTGTACCTCACATAAGACAGTTTTGGTCTCTGTGTAAAAGGCTTTATCAGTCAATTCTGGTCTCATCGACAAAAAACAATGCACAACAATGTTTCTCTCACCTTTTCATTATCTCCAAGTCTTTTCTCACTTCCACCTCCCTTTCTCTGACTTTGTCAATCTCCTCCAATAGACTCTGCCTCTGCTGATACAGTTCTTTCTCTTGTTGCTATCATGACAAAAAAAAAAAAAAAAAAATTCTTACTGAATATCATATAACACCCATTTTGTTTGTACCAACCAATAGCACACATACAACCACAAGCAAACACACACACACAATCACACACTACAAAAATGTATTCAATTTGCACTAATTTTTGCCATTACATCAAAAGTCAGTAGTTGATGAGCAAGATGACGATACAAAGTCCACTTCTTCTTTTTTAAAGTATAACTTACTTCTTGTCTCCTCTGTAACCTCTCTGTGGCCGCCCTCTCCCTCTCTGACAGGGCATCACACTTGGCCCTGTAGGTCTGTTCCATCTAAACACATAAACATATATATAATCAACATGTAGTGTATAAAAAGCAAATAACCAAAAACATCATAAATAGTTTTGTTGATTTATATGTCTATATTATTACATGTTGTTTTAAACTTTGCCTTGATATTTGAATTTCCTCTTTTCATAACACAAAATAAGCACTTGTACAATATAAATGGCTTTTGTATGCTTCTATGGTTTCTATCATACTATACCTCCTTTCTAGCTTTCTCTATCTCTTTCCTAGCCTTCTCCTTTTCCTGGAGTTTGAATTTAGTGAACTGTGTCTCTTTGAATCTTTCCAGCTCCAGCTTGGTCTCCTCCTTGAACCTCTCCTCTAGATGGCGCTGTATTGAAAGGATGCGCTCTTCGGTCCCCAAGGCGTGGCTTTTGGAGTTTTCATGCAACAAAGTGTCAAATTCTTCATCTACTTTAGACAGTCTGGTGCCTGTTAAAAAAAAGCATTAAATTGTGTGGCTTCCTTTCTGTGATTCAAAATAATAAAAATGAAAGACAATTTTTTTGTTTTAGAACACTTATTTTACCCTATAAGAGGTCAAATTAACATTTTACAAATATACACTGTAAAAAATTAATTATTGTTGATTTGGTCAATTCCAACAGCAACTTTTTGTCTACTGGAACATTAAGAATTTTTCAGCATAAAACTATTCAATACCTATGAATCAATTTACTAAATCACTAATAGATGCTGCTGTGGCAGTTCAACATATCATGATAAAAAAAATTATAACTACCATACCACCTAGGGGTCAGTGAGAGTCAACATCATTCTTATGAAGGCCTTTGTCCAGGTTGGCTGAAAGCTAACGTTATGAAAGTATCTTGGCTTGTGTTTGATAATTTTCATTTACGAATAATTTCTAGTGTTTTGAAAATTTAATCTCTTACTTAAAATTGACATTGCCCCATGTCCATCTCTGGAAGTCTGTGTGCTGGTGTCCTGAGAAAGACCTGCATGACTACCAGCAAGCGCTGTCAATAACTGCCACAAAAATCCCTTGGAAGAAGATTCTGGCATACTTTCTGTCTAAAGCAGCAAAGAGAAAAGAATTTAACACACACATATAGTATAACAGCTTACTGGATAATAGTAAACACTGGAACCATTCCTTGTACAGTAATTGAATTTAGTAAAACATATTGCATGGTTTCTCATGTATTTATCAAATATAATGCTCTTAGTTGCCAAATACTTGCAAGATATGGAATGGTGTCCCCTTATCAAAACTCTCAGTCAGAATTTTTTCATTTAAACATTCAAAACCCTCACTTGTGTTAAATGTGAACTGAAAGTACATCAGGCTAACTCACCAGTGTTTTATACAATTTTGAATGTGGACTTATATGGAGCAGCTGCAGCAGGTCCTGGGTTGTGAATACCTGTGAATTAATAGACACTTATTACTCATTGATTGGGAGCTGATCATGGATCTTATTTTAGTTGTACAATATCATAGGTATATATATATATATATATATATATATATATATATATATATATATATATATATATATATATATATATATATATATATATATATATATATATATATATATATATATATATATAATAAAAATGCTGCAAAATTAGTAATACCTGCTTGGAAAGTTACCAAAATCAAGTTGGGTATAAGTCAGAAGTCATTTTTGTCAGTAACCTTATAATTTATTCAGTTTTTCAAGGCCTCCGGCCCATAGTACATAATAATAATAATAATAATAATAATAATAATAATAATAATAATAATAATAATGATAATAATAATAATAATAATAAATTCCGTGAGAAGTATTAAGAATTATTAATTTTTTGTCAGTGATCTAAAATTTCTTTTCTTAATAAAAAAGCATTAAATATATAAACAGCTAAACTAGATATTAAATTTGTGTTTTTTGTGTTCATTAATCTTAAAAAACTTTCTTTAGTAGGGTTATTCACTGGCAAATATTTTTCTCTTAATGCTGTATATGCTACACATGTCATTAAAAAATGGTATTCGTCTTCAACATCATAAATATTATATTTTTTACAGATTAAACAGAGTCTATTGCATCTTTCTATACCTTTCCATCTACCGCTCTCAATATTTAGTAGGTGATTTGCGCATCTGAATCTTGCAAGTGAGGTTCTGTGTTTTACATTTTTAATGCTTAATAAGTAACACTCCAGTGTTAACTGCTCTTAAATAATGAATAAGTATCCAGTTTGCTGCTCTTACATATGTTTCTGTGCCATATTTGGCCAGCATTATCAACTAATCTTTCTCTGAAAACTTTAATAAATAAAACAGAATTTCCCACACCCTGAGCCTCCCAGACATATCCGAATCCGTTTTTTGTTAGTACTAATAATTAAATATAACAAATCTTGAAAAAGAAATGATAAAACACTGCTCATGCCTCTTAAATGCTGCAGAGCAGTAGGCTAGGCATACATTGTGAATGTAAGCAAATGAATTTTAATGTTTTGAAAAGATCTCATCTGTGACTCATTACTGTGTGCCTCACCTTATCTTGAGAGGCCCCACTCTCTGGAATGAACACCCCCAGTGAGTAATTATAGTGGCATCTACGTAGATGATCTGCCACCAGGCTGTTGGCAGCTGTGAGGGATAAGGAACTGTCAGCCTGCTGCTGGGGAGGCTTTGTCTTCAATGAAGATCCTAGCACAGAGTGTTGGAGCTCATGGACGAGTTTGTTCCTTAATTGAGACTACAATTTAAAATAACACTGGTGTTTTAAAAAGGCACTGAATCACTTTATGGCACTTAGTTTAGCACTGTTAGGTATTCAGGAGAACAGCAACTACAAAGTTTAAAACTTGACAGCATCTTCAAATGTGCTGTGCAGTTCAAATTTTATCATTTATCAAGGTCATTATGTGAGAAGTCCATGAATAATCTGTAAATGCATCACTACTCTTTATGTCTAATTGAAAACAAAATAAGTAGTTGTGATCATGTGCCAGACTTATTCTATAATTGCAGTATTATAGAGAGCAGGTTAATTATGGGGTGTATTTCAGTCTGTTTTTTAATTTTGTCTGATAAGAATGAGAGTTCGCATGAACAAGTACTCTGCTAAGGTTCACACCTAAACAATATTTTCTCATGCCTTTTGTAGAGTCACAATATGGTTAGAAATTGGCAGAATTCCCACTTAGTATCCCCCAAAGGACAAAATGTATGTTTTAATTAGTCACTGTATTCCAATGCAGCTGTATAAAATATATAAGGGCTTAAAACTTATAATTTAAAAATAATGTTGACCAACAAATACTCACCTTTAAGGAGTCCAGTACCCCCTTTCCTCGGAGACTGCTGTACAACTTGTGTTTTAGCTCGTCAGCTGATAGCACGGATGTACTGGTGCTCATATTGTACTAGTGGTTTGGACGATATTCAATTTCAAGTGTTCAGTTTCAACAGTATATTTCAGTTTTCTTGGACGTCCCCTGGTCCCATTTCAGGTTATTTGTTAATCAAAATTATTTTGGTATATTATCGCATATCGCCATTTAAAGGCTTTGAATGTTTTTTTGGAAATTAAAGATCAAAGTTTAACAAATGCAGACCTATTTCAATTTTAAGATAAAAATCGGATTGGCCGGCAAAAATATTTTCTTAAAAAGTCTAAAAAAGACCAATCGTCTTGAATATCAATACAAATACATCAGTAATAATATACTCCATTACACCAACTTATCCATTTACCACGAGGAGAGAACCTTGAACGGTTCCACATAGAGAAAAGCGACAAAAATATTCAGCAATCGGCAGAATCAATTCATTTGTTGACATCCACCATTTTGAAATTTCCGCTACCGCTCCGCAGCAAATACGAAGCATTGACAAGATTCGTTAAATGTCAGGATTGAAGCAGATTTGAAGAATGCGAGTTTCCAATGAAAACATGGGTTTGAGCACACAAAATACATGTTGTGATATATTACTAATCAAAAAGATTTTTAAAATATTTAAAACGCCAAGATGAAAAGCTATCTGCATTTGAGCTATCCCGGAGGCCAAAGTCACATGATGCGGCATCAACAAACACTGGCGTAAAACCGGTGCAGTGGGTAGTGTAGGAAGTAATTCAAAACTTGCTCACCTTCCATCTCGTAAGTATTCCTGTGGCATTTGATGAAAAAACTACTTTTTAAACCCCTTCAGAAAGTGTTGAGTATTGTAAGCTGAGTTGACGAGAGTAAAAAGTTATATCAAGTCACTGGTAACAGTATAGTTTATTTTTAATGTTTACGATCATTTCAGGTCACATTTGGGCGATGCATCTGTACGCTGCAACTTTCCTGTGGATATCATGCCTTCTTCCCAGCCAGGTTGATCTCTTGAACAACGGGCTGGCAAGGACACCTCCCATGGGGTGGCTAGCTTGGGAGAGGTTCAGGTGTGATATTGATTGTAAAGATGATCCAGATAATTGTATTAGGTGAGTGCTCTCTCTCTCTCTCTCTCTCTCTCTCTCTCTCTCTCTCTCTCTCACACATCGAAAGAAGTAAGGTATAATAAGATATTAATTAATTTTCAATTAAAAAAGGAATAGATGGAATATTCTTTTGCAACATACTACAGTGCCATAAACACAAATAGCAATCACATGATATTTTAATAGAAGGGGTGTAGTTTTATGGCCTCGTACCACGAGGCATGAGGAACATTGCTAAGTAGTTGTAAACTTGCGATTATAGATCTGTTTAGATGATATTTGACAGCTTTATTATGGAATTTTATAGATATATCTCCCACTAACTCCCTCACCCTCCCCCCCCCCCAAAAAAAACATATAAATATATATTATCATTTAAAAAATAATACATGATAGTTTTCTTGTCTTCCAATATTTCAAATGTTGCAACTGTAGAGGCAGAATAAATGTGTTGTGCTGGGATCACATTTGGATATATAAATAATTTAAAATACATCTTTTGATTTATAATTATATTGGCTAAATTCTCTGTTTTAAGGAATTTTATAAAACCAGGCTAAGTGCTTTAAGAACTTTTTTCTTGAAAATGAATTTTTTCTTTTATTTAGTTTTTGTTTGTTTGTTGGATTTTATTTTTTCAATCTGTTTGTTAATGTACATATATATATTTATTCTTTTTCATCATTGATAGGGCACACTGAGATTTTTGAATGATTTATTGTCATCATTATTGCCATACTGTATTATCTATCTGGATATTTACTTCTGCAAATATGGATATCAGTTATAAATTTGGTCAGTTTCAGGTCATACTTTGTTCTGTATTGTTTGTTATATGATACCGTATCATGCCCTTTGCCCATGTTGTTTGCTTGCATGATATATTACTGCATATTGAAATAAAACAATTAATACCTTATATAAGTAGTGTCATGCACCTTTGTGTCCTGAAAACTTATTTTCCTTTAAATTCAGAAAATTGAATTCTGTGACGTCTAGAAATGTTAAGCTATATCATGGTCTACTGACACTATGGCATCCTCATTTCAGTTACCATGGCAACAATATTCAATAATCGGGTTGATGGGATTTACTCCTGCTTTAAAGAAAAAAAAGCAATTATATTTATATGTATGTCAAGTACCCTGAAAAAAGAAACATCCTCTTTTTCTAACGTACACATATACTCAACAGTTTTTCTGTATTTTACTCAAAGTCAGGAGGAGTTTTGTTAATCTCATATCGTTCAGCTAGAGTCCTTGCAGAGTTGGGATCTGGCTATGCAGAAGAATAGATTCATTAGGAATTGGCCCTTAGCTTATGTGGTGTAGAGTTTCGATTAAGATGACCAAGTTTCTTGTAGACTGTTTCATGTGCTGTGTCTGCAGCTTCATTTGGAGAAAGCACTTCGCACATGCAGAGTACCATTTGGGCATTTGCAGAATCATATCTCGAATTATCTGTTTCTGTGATCTTATGCTTTGTTGGAATTACATAAACTTTTACCCAATCATGCTACTTATTCACTTCATACAACATAATGTCACTGAAGAAAGCATTTTGCACATGCAGAGTAACATTTGGGCATTTGCTGAATCAAATCTCCTTTTTTGCCTTTTTAGTGAAAAGCTATTCAAAACGATGGGTGACCTGCTAGTGAAAGAGGGTTACAAGGATGCAGGTTATGAGTATGTCAACATAGATGACTGCTGGCTTACTCACAGCAGGAATGCTAAAAATCAGCTGGTAGCAGATCCTACGAGGTTTCCCAGTGGAATTACGAATCTATCTTCTTATGTGAGTATGGTGTGAACTGTAGTAAAGATTATATTTTTAGCCAAGATGCTCAATTTTGTTTTTAAATTATCAAGAATATCAAATTAAGCAACATCCACATTATTAATTGACCCAAAACATTCATGGATTAAGTTGTTTACAAAGACAATTCGTGTATTACACAAGTTGAAAGATACTCAACCATTATATTTACATGTTACACCAAAGGTATCAGCCAGCTAATTCTGAGCACCAAAATTTATTCTGTATCTGAAGAAGTCCAAATTCTTTAACTTTTTTTCATCTGTCCTTCCAGTACATGATCTGGTAACAGATAAATATAATTGAAATTTGCATTCAAATAAGAAAGCTATTGTTTATTAAAATGCCAATAATGAGATGATAAGTAGGAGTATATATATATATATGGCAAGAGGGTCATGGTTTATTAAGATTGTAACACTATTTGCATCAATGTTATTTTGAACATATTTTACAGATACACAATCTTGGACTGAAGCTAGGTATATATGAAGACTTTGGGACCAAAACTTGTGCGGGATATCCTGGGATACTGTTCCAGATGGACACAGATGCCCAGATGTTTGCCGACTGGGGCGTGGACATGCTGAAACTTGATGGGTGTAATGTTCCCACAGAACTTATGCCTTATGGTATGAAAATGTTATGAGATAATATTCTAGGCTCACTCTGGTATTTTAGAAGTCTAAACAAATTTCAGTTTGGCTATAGAAAATGCAAAATATTTTAGAGTTTTTCCATAATCTGTCTTTGATTTTGTTCATAACATAGATGTCACAGTGGTTTGAATTATCAGGTGTCAAGCTGAAATAAATTTTGTCCAGAAATTGATTTTACTGAAAATTTCTTTTAAGGAAATAATGTGAGATTTGCCATTGATGTTAAAACAGTTTTTCATGTCTTCATTTGATAAATTTAGTTTGAATGGTCATAACTATTTTGAGATGTATATAATACACAAATGATCAAAGACAAAACTTCTGGACAAAATTTGCTGGACTTTTCAATTTGCCATTGAACTCCTTCGCATATTTAGACAGCTTTATGTTTTAATGGTAAAAAAACTTGTTTTGCTATAATATATATCGTGCATCACTTTTCCCAGTAAAGCGCAATAAGGGAACATGAGCACTCTGTATAGCAGGTTTTCATTCATAACTAAAATGTTAAATAACAGGGATAACATTTCTCTTAACCTGAATTTTGTACCCCCTTCCACCACTTTCCTGCCCCCCTCCCCCCCCCGCCCCCGCCCCCAGTCTATTTTTCCCTGCAGGTCATCTGTTGTGTAACTTTGAGAGCACTCACAACCAGTTAATCCTCTGACTAAGAGACCATTCCTACAGATATTTAGATCGATGTATCCCCCTGGGGAGTCTCACTAGATTGCTGTCAGCTAACTGGCTTAAATGTCTGTCCCGCCTACTTAAAGCTGTAAGGGGGTAATTAATTTTTGTGCACGCTCGGCTCCCGGAAGCTGACAGCAATTTAGCGTGAACCCCCTGGGAGTTAGGTCAATCCAGATGGATCAATCTAAATCTGTGGGAACCCAGTCTAACTAGTCAGGGTTGGATAGGTTGCTTGCTGCTCACTAATGGCTTAGAGCAGTTGAAGATCTCATGAAAATTGTGAATTCTTTGTCAGTCTCTTTTCTTTCACCACAGACTGCAAACTTCTTTTGTTATTACCTCTGCCAAGGAGGTTATATTTTCACCCCTGTTTGCTTGTCTGTCTGTCTCTCTGTCTGTCTGTTTGTCATCAACATAACTCAAAAAGTCATGGATGAATTTCTGTGGAAATTTCAGGGTAGGTCAGAAATGGGTTAACTTAGAAGTTATTAGTTTTTGGTGGTGATCTGGATCAATAATCAATCAAATATAAAAAAACTAAGTTATGGACAGATTTTGATGAAATTTTCAGGAACTGTCAGAAGTTGGTCAAGGAACAGATGATTAGTTTTTGGTGGTGATCCGGATCAATAATCAATCAATGATCAATAATAAAAAATATCACAAATTTAGGGGTAAAACGGCATTGGATTGAGACTTTGCTGCCTTGGCTGAGGTCTGCGCTCTCTGAGTGCTTTTCTAGTTTGGCAGTTTATTCCCTGGCATAGTGGCTGTGAGATGAGCATGCTAATTACGTTGTGTGGCCATGGATATTTGGATGAGTCATTCTCTTATTATACATGTATTTGAATCCCTTCCCAAAGACACCATCAGTCTGTGTGGATAGTTCCAACTCTGCAGGTCCAATCAGCTTAATTAACTGACACACCTCCTCTTGTTTCCAATGCACTTGTCAGATCGCCAGCTTTTCTGTATTCTACTTGACATACACCAGGAGGATGCATGTCTTTCAGTTAAGCTGATTGCAGTCAGAGAGAGTCCCCGCAGAATTGGGTCATAGACTGATGGTGTGTATGGGACTAGGGCCTGTGATTCATGGGACAGTGTGTGCATTAACTAAAACAATTCTTCTCTGATTTCATGCCCATCTCTATTTTTTTTTTTTTTTTGCAAGTGCTGCTAGAGGAAAACTGGGCTCACAATAGCATAGAAAATTAAGCTAGATTTCTTTAAAAATTCCAAAAATTGGAACTGTTACAGTAAATGCAAAAATATTTGACCAAATGGAGAATAAATTTAGTGCATTTGTGAGCCCAGGCAGATGAAAATTGCTTTAATTTGTTTCTTTTGTTTAAAAGCTAAGAGCATATTTTTTCTCTCCTTCTTGTAGGATATCCAGAGATGGGCAGGGCTCTCAATAGAACTAACAGACCCATAATGTACTCTTGTAGCTGGCCTGCTTATCTAGCAGGAGGACCAAAACTGGTTTGTATATTGCTTAATATGCACAGCTTGAGGTTTTGGTGAAAAGGGGCAGCTGGATTGGGGGAGGGGGGGGGGTGCAGGAGAGATGGGTGGAAAAGGAGAGGATTGCTGGTATACATGTAGGTGCATTGACATTGACATACTAAATTTTTCATAAAATGCTATGATTTCTACATTTTGGTCACTGGTGAGTCAGTGAAAAGTCAATCATGTTACATATATTTGAGAGTAGAGAGAGTCCAGAATGTTCACTTTTTAACAGGCTATCCAGCCATGGGGTATTACTTAAACCAAACTGGAAGACCAATAGTTTATTCGTGTGAATGGCCAGCTTATCAGACTAAAGAGGTAAGCTGCAAGTAAGGACTGTGCCAAATATATGATGCCTTTTATGAATACCTTTATTTAAGTCATCACGTTATAATATTATGTGATGTAATTTATATATTTTGATCAAATTGATTTTTTGTGACACAATAAAAGAAAAGCCTGAATTTTTACCAAGCACTTTTGCATTGGGCAAAATATATGATTGAAAAATAAAAAGAAAAAATGACTAGTGTGGGTAGGATTAAGGCCTTTTTCCATTTCATTTGTTTAAAGTGTGAAAATGACATGTTTGAAAAGGATTCTAGTACAGTTTTAATACTGAAGAATTATGCCTAGTTTATCAGTATGAAAGGAAAGGAACAAATGAAATCACACATTAAATATTTCATACTGTTTACTTTACAGTGATGTGATTTAAACAATCTATACATATACAAGTACATTAACAAAAAAATTAAGATTAAGTGCATTTGATAAGTTCAAAAACTGTTTTGGAGTTACATTTCAACTTTGTTGTCAACAGAAATTATAACAGGTGTTATAATTTATAATATTGCCCTTGACACAGAATTAAGACCAAAACATAGGGAATATATATACTTTGAGTGTGAATTATCAAGTTACACTATTATATTTTTGTGAAAAAGTGCAGTGAGCTGCATCAAAACTAATTTAATTTAGAAAAAAAGTGAATTAATATATGTATAGTATTTGAGATGTTTTCTATAATAATGTACAACATCTACCTTGTACTTATTTGACAAGTTGATCTACAGTTTTATATCTTCTCAAAAACATGTTATCATCTAAAATTGTGTAATAATCTACCACATTTTCCTCTCATATACAGCCAGACTATCAAGCCATCGCCCAATCATGCAACTTGTGGAGGAATTATGATGACATTCAAGACTCCTGGGATAGCTTGAAGGGGATTATCGATTTTTACGGAGATGATAAAGGGAACTTCAGTATGTTTGCTGGACCAGGGGCATGGAATGACCCAGATATGGTTTGTTCATGTTTGACTTGAATTTTGTTAGATTTTCTTTTGGTAAATTTTTTGTTTTATTTATTTATTTATTTATTTTGTTTTTGTTTCTTTACTAGTCAGTTCACCTGTCCATTCACTTATTCATTTTGTATCCATTGATTTTAAACCAAACATGGGTGACATTTCTGATGTCATGAGTGTAGATTGTATAGCGAGTTAAGATTAATCCACTGTGTTCCTAATAAAGGGTGACTTGCAATAAAACATGGACAGTTTTAACACTGGTGTCATCAGTGGTGACATTAACATTAAGCTTTGTATTGTTTTCTTCGGCTGCACCTTCATTGATATTACTCGTTTAAGGTCAGCAAAACAACGTTTTCAACCTCAGACAAAGTCTATAATTGTATTATATGCGTACAGAAGCATATATTTTCACTTTTAGTTAATCATTGGCAATTATGGTCTGAGCTATGACCAGCAGAGGGTTCAGATGGCAATGTGGGCCATCATGGCTTCCCCACTGCTCATGGGGAACGATCTAAGGCACATAGCACCCGAGTCTAAGGCAATACTGCAGAATAAGAATGTAATAGCTATCAACCAAGATCCCATGGGAAAAATGGGGAAGAGAGTTATTAAGGTGAGTACATTTGGGGCATTGTTATTTTTAGGGGTTTGTAGTGTTATGCTAGATGTCTGCCACTTTACTTGCATATAAATATATTCATTTACTTTCAGTTTCTAAAGAGGTTTTCAAAGAGAAAAAAGTTTTGCTCTTTAAATGTTTGCAAACAATTGACCTTTTATGTTAAATGTTATTGTTTGAAGTTATCTGTACTTAAATATCCAGATGAGCTCTTCTTTTGATGAAAAATTAAAAAGGTGGCGTGTTAATTCTCCCTTTCAGAACAATGACATTCAAGTGTGGACGCGCCCTGTTATGCCAACTGGAAGCTACGCCTTCACCATCGTAAACTACGGTGTATACGGCACACCTGCAAAGCTGAACTACAAGTTAAGTGACATGGGAATATCAGGGGCAAAGTCTTACCTCATTACAGAAGTGTTTGATGGGGGCAAAATAGGAGTTCACACAACTAGTGATGTAGTTACTTACACTGTCAATCCCACTGGTGTGTTTATGGGAAAGGCAATACCACAGTGATAAAAGGAGAAAAATGGTTTGAAGAGAGTATCTCAACAATATGGAGCTTGATGCAAGCTATAATGTTAAAGGTCCCACTGGATATTTGCTAAAAAAATTAACTGTACTGATTGACAATTAAAAAAAAGACATATTTTGCCAATAAGATGCTTACCAATAAGAGAGTTTTGTTTGAATTTTGATTGATGTCAATATGGTAATTGGCACAAGATGAATTTTGTGCTAGTTTGGTTCAAGTATATTAAAAATCCCTGTAGCTTTATGACAGTAATAAGTTTTGGCAAATGACAGCTGCATTAAGATTAAAATGACAAATCATTGGCAGCAATTATCTCTTTTTGGTTACTTTCATTATGTAACAATAATAAATTAAACATTTTGCATAAGATGTCTATTAATGAAACGGTTACTACCTTTTCATTTTCTATGTCTGTAGCTATTTAATATAGAAAGATAAGTCTACCATTGTCATGTTAACATTTTGTACAAGTATCACAAGAATTGCCTTTGTGTAGCAAACAAAGACAAATTGCCCTTTTTTACATGTCCCATGTATCAAGTAATCTGTTTTTTTCATCTTACATTCCATACCAAAAAGTTTTTAAAACTTAATTTTTATTAAATTTATAATGTCTATATTAAACATTGTTGAAGAGGGAAGATGGCCAAATGTAGGGTGATTTTTTTCTGACTTTGGTTCCAAACTAGATGTTAAAAAAATGTAGTTCAAGTACAACATATGCATACAAAAAATTAAAGCTTTTGTTCGAATGTTGAGTTTATTTACTGTGATCTGTGTAATGCATTACGTGTCAAGGTTTTTTAGAGACTTTAGAAGATGCATTGGTAAATCAAATTATTATCCATCACTTTCATTTTAAAATCATTTCTCAGTAATTCAAACCTGATATCTCTCATGAATTCAAATAATATAGTGTGTATTTTCCATATTCTGGTAAAGCCTTCAAAAGGCGCCATTGCTATGCAGGTCTTACGAGTTAGCATAATGGTAGTTTTGTTGAATGTTGCTTGTTATAATCTGTATGAAATCAGAAAACTGGAGAAATAACTCTTTGACAATAAAGACTGATTCAGAAGCTGAAGGAGGTTTGCATTAAAAAAATTGTAACACATGTCATTTAAAGCGGTTATTTTTTAAGTTAAGTACATAAAAATATCAATTTCTAGGCTTTCTTATACTGTTCATTCAATACATGTTAACATAGAAAAAAAAGTATTTTGTGGAAAATAATGAAGTCCAGTATTTCTTTGAATAATTTAATCATAAATGGGATATATTGCTGAACTTAATAATTACAAACTGTTGGAAAAAAGAAAATATTGTTACAAACAAGTGTTTGTTTTTTATTCCGGCATTCAGTAAAATGTGTAAGCCTACAGCCAATAACTGCTACATTAGAAAATACGACTGCCATATTTTGAAGTCACTGAGAGAGGTCTCAACCGTATTTTCTCAATTCTTTGGTTCATATATTTGGCTGCAGGGTATGCCTATATTTTCTTTGTGTGGTTTGAAGGGAGGTTTGAAACAACTTTCCTCCAATTGTACAACCCAATGGAAAATACCATGTCCAATGCGAACGCCAAGTTTTAGTTAATCAAAAAGCCGCTGAAGGATGCGTACATATCGCTTACACTCCCAAAGAATCCTGCTTGGTGATTTTGAACCACTTTATAAGAGATAGAAACTCTGTCATCTCTCTCTAGCCGTAAGTTCACACTGTTGCTACCAGTGGTCCAACCATAATCGGTATAGGCTGAGATGACGTACTCGTCATTGTGGTCAAGTACCTGCCACCCGTGGTTGCCGCTCATTGTCAAGAAGTGAAAGTCGAAGTGATACAAGCCGCTTACAGGGGCAACAAACTTTCCGGTGGATGCGTCAAATCCGCTGCCAATGTTTAGAATTACTTTGTCGTACATCATGGGTCCACCATCATGTGAACGGAAGGTTTCGCTTTTAGCCACGGAAAAGGCGACGCCACTGTCTACATTTCCTGCAATCATAAAAACAAAAAGAAAAAAATTCGAATTGCATCCAAAGAGGGTATTGTAAGTGCTGTAGGATTCCGATTCCAAAATTAACAGAGCATCAGCACTTTTTTAATGGTGAATACTTATATTGTAAGCTGTATTATTATTATTATTATTATTATTATTATTATTATTATATTCGATTTTTATTTATCTTTATTTATTTCATTTAATTATTATTATTTTTTTACTGCAAGCGTAAATTGAACATTTTGATACAGCACCGAAAACATTTAAAAAGAAATTTAAAAAATGTATATCCCGATAGGTTATGAACCTATCAGCAATAAACTGCAAATACATGAAGCCTATGAAGTACTTCTGATTCACCAAGACTCGCATTATGAAAAATTTACCAACCTGTTTTTGATACTGTTTCACCAAAGAGAAAGACTAACAGACAAAGCACCGCAAACATCTTCATGGTGATGTTCTCCAGAAAGTAGAAAGCAAATAAACCAAAAACATGCGGGTTCCATTTAAAGTTTCGCATATTTACGCGTGAACGGTGATAGTTCGTGACTGGATTTGGGAACATCTGCTTTGGGTAATGATTTTGTTTATAAGAAGCAGAGATTATGCCTGCACAGGATTGGAGTTGCTTTGGTGAATAGCACAAAACTCATTTGAAAACAAAATATAAGGACGTAAAATGAACATATTTCAATTTTAAAATGTTGTTTGGACAACTTACAAATGTCGCTTCGAGATCCAAATATTTATTTCAAGAAAAGAGTTAGCATACAGGTTGTGTTGTTGAATGTTGCTTGTTAAAATTTGTATGAAATCAGAAAACTGGAGAAATAATTGTCTATGACAATAAAGACTGATTCAGAAGCTGAAAGAGGTTTGCATTGAAAAAAATCATTATAAATGTCATTTAAAGCTTCGTGATCAAACGGTTATTTTTGAAGTTGTTTAAGTTCATAAAAATATCAATTCCAGGCTTTCTTACACTGTTCGTTCAATACATGTTAACATAGAAAAAAGTATGTTGTGAAAAATAGCGAAGTCCAGTATTTCTTTGAATATTTTAATTATAAATGGGATATATTGCTAAACCTTATAATTACAACCTATTGGAAAACATTGTTACAAACTAGTATTTGTCTTTTTATTCCGGCATTCAGTAAACTGAGTAGGCCTAAAGCCAATAACTGTCACATTGGAACACACAACTGCCACATTTTTAAGTCACTGAGAAAGGGCTAAAACCGTGATTTCACAATTCTTTGGCTCATATTTTTAACTTCAGGATATTCCGGTGTTTTCTGCGGGCGGTTTGAAACTACTTCTCTACAATCTCACAACCCATGTCCTATTAATGTGAACGCCACGTTTTAGTTAATCAAAAAGCCGCTGAAGGAGGCGTACATATCGCTTACACTCCCATAGAATCCTGCTTGGTGATTCTGAATCACTTTATAAGAGATAGAAACTCTGTCATCTCTCTCTAGCCGTAAGTTAACACTATTGCTGCCAGTGGTCCAACCATAACCGGTATAGGCCGAGATGACGTACTCGTCATTGTGGTCAAGTACCTGCCACCCGTGGTTGCCGCTCATTGTCAAGAAGTGAAAGTCGAAGTGACACAAGCCGCTTACAGGGGCAACAAACTTTCCGGTGGATGCGTCAAATCCGCCGCCAATGTTTAGAATTACTCTGTTGTACATCATGGGTCCACCATCATGTGAACGGAAGGTTTCGCTTTTAGCCACGGAAAAGGCGACGCCACTGTCTACATTTCCTGCAATCATAAAAACAAAAAGAAAAAAATTCGAATTGCATCCAAAGAGGGTATCGTTAGTGCTGTAGGATTCCGATTCCAAAATTAACAGAGCATCAGCACTTTTTTTAATGGTGAATACTTATATTGTAAGCTGTATTATTATTATTATTATTATTATTATTATTATTATTATTATTATATTCGACTTTTATTTATCTTTATTTATTTCATTTAATTATTATTATTTTTTTTACTGCAAGCGTAAATTGAACATTTTGATACAGCACCGAAAACATTTAAAAAGAAATTTAAAAAATGTATATCCCGATAGGTTATGAACCTACCAGCAATAAACTGCAAATACATGAAGCCTATGAAGTACTTCTGATTCACCAAGACTCGCATTATGAAAAATTTACCAACCTGTTTTTGATACTGTTTCACCAAAGAGAAAGACTAACAGACAAAGCACCGCAAACATCTTCATGGCGATGTTCTCCAGAAAGTAGAAAGCAAATAAACCAAATACGCGCGGGTTACATTTAAAGTTTCGCATATTTACGCGTGAACGGTGATAGTTTGTGACTGGATTTGGGAACATCTGCTTTGGGTAATAATTTTGTTAATCAGAAGCAGAGATTATGCCTGCACAGGAGTGGAGTTGCTTTGGTGAATAGCACAAAACTGATTTGAAAACAAGATATAAGGACAAAAAATGAAAATATTTCAATTTTAAATTGTTGTTTGGACAACTTACAAATGTCGCTTAGAGATCCAAATATTCATTTCAAGATAAAAGCGCCTAGATTTATGTCTTTCCTATCCTCGAACTAAAAATTTCGACAGGATAACAAAGAAAAAGGGAACGTCCTCAACAAC